TGGCCTAGGCAAAAATAAGGGCTTCCCGGCGAACCAAAAGGGTTCGGGCAAAAGTAAGGGATGAAAATAAAATCTATACACCCGGCAAGTCGAAAACCTGAAAAGGCGGCTTGGGCAAAAAAAGGGTATCCCGGTGGACTGAAAACCCGAAAGGGCGGTCCAGGCAAAAATTAGGGATCAAAGCGTAACACTATGTCTCATTGGATCATCTTGCAACCAGACTTTGGTATCAACTATCAAGCTCGGACGGCACTAATCAGTCTGATCTACCTTCAACCAAGTAGCAAAGTGATGAGATGCTCAAAAGACATAAAGGCAATAGCAGAGTTGGAACCCAGTGGGATTGTTCACATAGTTGTTTTTCTTTAAATTGTATAATTTCTATCATTCAGCGGCGTTCTCTTACTAGGACGCAAGCCTCTTGTACAAAAACTCTTATTTACATGCCAACTTCAAAATCAATACAATTCATTTTCACAAAGAAATTTCAAATTGTTTTCCTTTTTCTGTTTTGTTTGCAAGAACGTCCAATGTTCATTTTTGATATATGCATTTGACAGTAATTGCTGCTCATAAATATTTACATGCGAAACAAAAGACGATTACTCGTAATATCAGGAACAGGGGCAAACAAGAAATGTCCAAGCTTTACAATTGCTTTGTCCACCAGGTATAGGGATAGATCTAGCTGGAGAATACAACTAAAGATACATTCACTCTCCGCAGAGCAAAAGGTATCTAAAAACAGTGATTCTCCTCAAGCAGAGTTTATCTATCACCAGCACTAGAAAATTATCCCCAGTAGAGTTTATTTCTTCCACAAGCAGAAACTCAATCCCCGACAAGTTTCATTATTGCCAACAACGGTAATTCATCCCCAGCCAAGGTTATTTCTCCAAATTAACAAATCCTCTAGCAGAGTATCTCTTCCCCACAAAGTCATTTTCCCGTCAGTTTATTCTCCAGCATGATTATTCTCAAATCATCTTCGGTCGTTATCCCCAGCGAGCGAAGCCCTTTTACTCTCCAGCAGCAATCCGGGATTTATTTTCCCCAGCTAGAGAACATCATAAAAACATTGCATGCCCATACATCTTGACATTCACATATGCATCATACAACACAATCTCATTTATTTTGAGAACATCATTGCTTGATACATATCATGAATTACATACGACTAACCTTTACCTTTCAGGAAAGATACAATCAAATTCTCACAAAGTTCAAGCTATGAAGCCCGGATCCGATCGGATAGTACCTTGATTTCTACATCATATTGTGAAGCCCGGAGAACGAACGAATAACAGTATTAAACACCGCGAAGCCTGGAATCGACCAGATAGTGGTTTATCTCTAAACTATGAAGCCCGGAGAACGACCAGATAATAGTTGAATCCCCAGCAAGCCGTGAAGCCCGGATTACGACCGGATAACAGCTCAGCAAGTTATTGTGAAGCCTGGATTACGACCAGATAGTAGTGCAAGACACCATGAAGCCTGGATTCGACCAGATAGTGGTATATCATAAGCACAAGCCGTGAAGCCCGGATTACGACCGGATAACAGATCAACAAGTTATTATGAAGCCTGGATTATGACCAGATAGCAATACAAATTTCTGTGAAGCCTGGATTACGACGAGATAACAGCCAAAGACACCGCGAAGCCTGGATTACGACCAGATAGTGGTATATCTTTAATACAAGTTATGAAGCCCAGATTCGACAGGATAGTATCTTGATTTCTCTAAACACCATGAAGCCTGGATTCGACCAGATAATGGTATGAGACACCGCGAAGCCTGGATTACGACCAGATAGCGGTAAAAAACACTGAAGCCTAGATTACAACCAAATAACAGTGAGGGACACTGTGAAGCTTGGATTACGACCAAATAGCAGTTCACCCGGCCAATTACTATGAAGCTCGGATTCGACCAGATACTAGTAGGCCCAAAGTCAAATGGAAGCCCGGATGCGACCGGATAACCACTTGATTTCTTCTGAAGCCTGGATTATGACCAGATAAGAAGTAAGGTATTGTGAATCCTGGATTACGACCAGATAGCAGTACAGAACACCATGAAGCCTGGACTCGATCAGATAATGGTATAAAGCATCGTGAAGCCTGGATTACGACCAGATAACAATAAAAGCACTAGAGCCTGGATTATGACCAGATAACAGTACAAGACACTGCGAAGCTTGGATTTCGACCAAATAGCAGTTTACCTGGACAATTACTAAGAAGCCTGGAGTCGACCGGATATTGGTGTGCCCTAAGTTCAAGTTGAAGCCCAGATGCGACAGGATAACAACTCATTTCCTTCTGAAGCCTGGACTACGACCAGATAAGAATTGAGAAATTGCGAAGCCTGGATTACAACTGGATAGCAAGTTTAATCTCATATCCTCAGTAAGTCACTGTAAAGCCTGGATTACGACCAGATAGTAGTCGGTCTTATCACTATGAAGCCTGGATTACAACCGGATAGTAGTTCATTTTCACCTCCTCAACTAAGAGACGATTCCCTAGTAGAATAACGGACAACCGAAGCTCCTAAAATTCTATTCCTCTCAAGACAGAGATCAGCATTCCCCAGCATAGTCTTCCTCAACAACAGGTATACTGGCTATCGCTAAGGAATCTCTCATGCGATCGATACTCCTTCAGATGGCATCTTTAAGCCCATATCCTATCATTCATTTCCAAATGGCATATGTAAGCCCATTCCCCAACATCACAAGACCAATACCACTGCATGCGAGTGCAAATTTCTGGGCACTCTAGTGTTCAATCATCTTCCACCTTCGGATCACGAAAGGCAAAAAAGCCAATCTACATCCTTAGGTTTAAGAAGATTGAACAGGGGCAGCTGTTGTACCCCAAAATTTTCCCTCCCATATTTCTCAAAACATTTCAAGGAAGATCCTTAAGTTGCTTCAGGAAGTCCAAGGGTTGACCAGACAAGCTCTCTCCTAAGGCAGTCTACCTCAAATTAGGGTTTCATGTTGCATCAAGATATTTGAGTCCAAGGGATCCAAAATGCTCACCATTGTCCTAATATGTTCTCAAGATCATCCATGTCAAGTTTCAAGCCTTGCAGAGGAAATTTGCTCAGTCAATTGCTCAAAAGCCTGAAAATCGACTGTGTTAGGGCAAAAGTCAATTGTGGCCTACATATAGTCAAACTTCAAGATTTTTGGTCAAAATCCTCATTTTGAAGTATTATTCATCATTTGATCAAGGGTTGATCAGGATTCATCAAGGATTGCTCATAATTCATCAAGAACCAAAAGTTGCTAAATTAGGATTTTGCAGGAAAAGTCACTACAAGAAAAATGATAGATTGGGACGGTTATTTTGGCTGATTACGACGGTTAAAACCGTCGCAATTTACAATCTACGACGGTAGAAGTACCGTCGCAGAATCGTGCGTCCCCAGCCTATTTCGCGACGGTTGCAAAAACTGTCACGCACAACAGATAGCGACGGTTATATACCGTCGTGAATTTGACTTTATTTTTTGTTTTTGTTGTTGTTTGCGACGGTTATTCTACCGCCGTAGGTTAGAAATTGCGGCGGTTTTAACCGTCGTAATCTGATTCATAAATTTCAAATAATATTTTTATTTAAATTATTATTTAGTAAAATAATTTTAAATATAATATTATTTTACTATAATATTTTACTATTATATTTAAATTATTATTTACTTTAATATTTTTTTATTTATAGTATTTTTATTTTATTTTCTATCACTTTTCAACATAATAAAGTTAATTACAATAAAAACATTTAATATCAAATAATCATCAATAATATCAAAAAAATGTGATCAAAGGTAAAAAGAAGTGCAAATTTTACCAATAAACAAGAAAAATTCAAATATCATCAAAGGCCAAATTTCATTTTAATATTTACATTGGTTTGCTACCACTTGAGAGAATTACAAAAAATGTTACAATATTCTACAAACTTGGTAAATATAGACGATAGAAATGTCTTCATTAGTGCTTGTAAATTCCTGGATTTTAGGAATCAGATTTAAACCTAGACCTTTCTCGACTAAGCTCATTGTGAGAGCTTCAAAAACTTGGTTGATGTCTACTTGCACCATCAGTCTTCTCTATGCCCTTGTGCGAGCTAAATCAATGCCTTCCATTACTCACCAAAGCTCAGCTACAACACTACTACATTTTCCATCACAGTAATCACACAAATTATCTGGAAGATTCAAGTGGTTTAGATATTGGTTGGTTTTGATTCCATTATGATATATCATCCACACAAAAACCCTTATTCTTTTAGTAACACTCAGATTTCAAATGCCTTTCCAATGATCCTCTATATCCTTGTTCTTGGTGGAGGTATTACAAGCATTATATCCAAAAACTTCCGACTGAACATGTTCCTTAAATGGCTTCAATTCCAATTTCCATCATCATTAATTAAGTCTGCAATTGTTGTATTCACATTATCTCCAATAGGCTAATTGATGAGATCTTGGAGTCTGATTCCAGGCCCGATTTAAGAATCTTCCCAAGCCCTGATATCTCCCATTATAAGATCACACAACTTGCTTGGAATGCCAACCTCAACTAGGACCTTATCCATAAAAATCTAACTGATCATGTCATATGCCTTAGCTAAATCTACTTTGATGGCAAAAAAGCTCTTCTTGCTTTAAGCTTGTGCATACTGTGGAGAATCTCTTGAGTCACCATTATATTATCATGAATATTCCTCCTAGGAATATAACCTGTTTGATTCAGATAAACAAATCTATCCATACAACTGTTCAATATGTTTATAATGATTTTGCTAAAAACTTTATATATAGAGTTACAAAGGGATATTGGCCTGAAGTGATGAACATATTGAGGGTTATCTACTTTAGGTATTAGGAAAAGATCTGAGCTATTTACCTCTGATATGTTAGCTGACTTGATGCATAACTCCTTGATGAAGGTACACACACTACCACCTACCAAATTTCAAGAGTTTTGATAAAAGCCTACACGGTATCCATCTGGACTTGGAGATTTCCAAGGAGCCATGTCATAAACATCATTCTTTATTTTCTCTTTCAACTCTTCATTCAACTGATCTAATATGCTTTCTTCCATGCTTGGAAAGCCACACTTGGTGTGTATCCAACCTGTAGTATCCACATCAGTTGTCTATAAGTTGAGGTAATTGTCCTTAAACATCTTCTTAATAGTGTCTTTGATTGCCTGCATGAGAATGTGATCATTTAAATGGAAACAACAGTTTGCCTTTGATTGCACAGTTTATATTGTGCTTCAAACTTTATTCAGAAAACCACATCAAAAAGGAAATTAGTGAATAACATCAGTTAACATACCCCGATTTCTGTCACAAACCGGCATGATGAACACCTGACCTGTGAAGCGCCATATGGATACATTAGCAATAGCGTACAACTCCCACACTTAACTTGCCCGACCTGATCAGCTGCAGGGAAGAAATGACCTATGATATAAATAGATTGCCACACAAAACGATAATGCATGCCGTATCATGTTTTTTACACAAGATTATTTGCAGCAGCAAGCACGCAACTACCAATAGCAGGACTGTTCTTCCCATCATGAAATTGTTTATGAAAGTATTTAATCAACCAGGTGCATAAAAGCTGAACTTAAAGTGCAAAGTTTCACAGAAAATACACGTTCAAGATAAAAAGAAGCAAAGAGAAAGTAAACTTGCCTTCAAACACAATGTTGACCGTTTGACAGCATGAACATTTGACATGTTTGGCACCTGATGGATACGAAAGCAGACGTCTACAAGAACCACAAACCATTTGAGCAAAACCTGTTAACACATATGTTTGGAAGATCATATCTCTCTAACCTATTGATCTCAGCATGCAGAGAATACACCCTGCAATAACTGTAGTAATTATTCATATTCACAAGTTCAATAACTCCAGTACTTTTACTTTGACATGATTGCAGCATAATCACCAAAGAAACCAGCAAAGTAATAAGTAAAACTCCAAGAGTGACAAGGGAAACAACGAAAATTGTTGCTGTAAAAGATGACATGTAGAATCCTGAATCTAGACCATAATGGCTAGATGTATCTGTGAAGACAAAAAGAAAAAAAGTTACTACTTGAAAGTGCTATTAATAGCAGTGTTTTAAAAACCTAACTAGACGGATTAAACCGTGAACCGTCGTGGCATACCGGAATTCCAAGCAAAACAAGCATAGCAAAAGTGATTTTACCTTACAGACAGCAAACATAAAAGTAGCACCGCAACAGAGCCTACAAAACGCAGATATGGTTAAACTCTAAGCCCATTCAACCACAATGTTCATGGGATTTTGGCATTCATAATCAGAAATACATGCCAACTGGTTCTTCTCATTAGGTAACTCATAAACTAGGTGACTTGATAGTTCCTTATATTCTTTGGGATAATTATGAGAATCTGAAGCAAGGTATTTTGATCTTGAGGTTGGTTTAGGAGAGAGCATGACAAAATATGTATGTAGGTTCTTATCATGTTTGAGTGAGGGTGTCTATTCTGGTGAATTTACAGATTGAGGTGGGGTGAGTTTTAGAGACATTCTCATCATACATGAGTTGGAAGAATCTAAGACATTATTAGAGACAAGGTTCAGAGGTATACCTGTGTCATTAACTTTTTCAACTTTTGGTGCAACATGTTCTTCTTCAATAATGGTTTCAAGGGCATGAGAAACAACTTCTTCTGACATGAGAACAACTTCAGCATCTGAAATTCCCTCAGCATCCTTCAGCACAACTTTTGCTATAGTTTTCCCTTCCACTCATTGCATATTTAGAATTGTGTGCCTGAACTGCAGATATCACCACTAATATCAAAAGATGAACATGCTAATAATATAACCGCAGTACATCCAACCAGGTCAGCAAAAGTAAATCCAAATAGAAAGAACTGTGGTGATTAAGATAACTGATAAGAGATGATTCATTGATTTTTGATTCACCTAGTTCAACAAAAGCATTAACAACAGATTTAAACCACCTAGTGTTGGTTGTGTTTGTTCCTCTAATCCTCTAAGCAAGTTTATGTGCAAACATATGCTGGATTTTATTGCAGTATTAAAAGCAAAATAGATAAGTATTTATGTGTTAGTGTATTCTATTCCACAATGCATCAGTATCTAATGCAAAGAACTCATTATGTCGCACGGAAAATAAGTGCCAAAATCCCCCTTGTATGTAGGAAAATATAAAAAGGACTTTACCTTCCCAAGCGCCTTAAGTTCTCGCCCGACGGGTTCCAAAAATTTCAAGTCAACTTCTATAGGCCAGACCTGTTCAAATAAGAAGCCGAGAAGAAAAATATTGAATTGTGCCTCTTTGCCAAAACTAAATATTTCTAAAGAGCACTAACCCAAAAGAGAAACATAAATATTAGAGAAAACCAAAACATAAACTACAAGGGGAAAACATGAAAACACATGATAATAGGAGGAAGAAAGATCAGCATTCATGAACATGGATCACTTCTGAAGTGCAAAACAGGACAAAGATCCTATGCTGCAAAAATGATCATCCATTTCATACGATGTATGCAAAATTTGACGTGACAAGAAAATTTGGACAATAAGTTGTTTCATTGTAACTACTAGCTAAAATAGAAAACAGAAAAATAAAACAATTTGTTAAACTAAATCGGTCACATTCTGAGAAGGAAATGCCACAAATTTGAGATGACAATGAAAAATCAAAATTAATATTAAGGTTACAGACATGTAGTCAGTACTTAACACCATTCCGTTTGCTCAATTAATCGGGAAAAAGTGGTTTAAACATAAACAAAAGAGTATCAAGAGTTATGATATGCAATGCTCAATCATGTCTTTGACCATCTCCATGGTTTTCACATAGGTGCACAGTTAGACTTCCAAATTGCAATGAAAGATTCAAAATATTATCATTGTGCTTCTTTAATCTTCTCAACGCCTCCTTACTAGAACAATGAATCTCAACCAAGTGTCATCAAACATTAACATCAATAATTGATTACAGAGTCCACCATAACAATTCTTCAACAAAAATAAATGTCCAGTTTCCATTTTAAAAGAGCCAAAAGCAATTCTATAAGAGTAAAATTGATTTTGACATGTTTGTTTTCTCAAAAGTGGAATTGATTTTGCTTCCAGAATTGATTCTAGCTGAAGCCAGGTCTTTTAGATTTTGAGTTTAAATGTGATTTTTACATGAAATTTATTGTTCAAGTCACTTTTACATTCAAGTGACTTTACATTCAAACATAAATCACTTTACATTCAACTCACTTTTAATCAAAATCAATTCACTCTGAATCAATTCTGGTCACCCAGAACCAAACACACACTAAATATACCCCAACAGAAAGCACAAGACACACAAGGTAAGAGTTAATTGACATAATTTAAGATAATTTGTGATAGAAAAGTTGAAGGAAGAAGGAAAAAGTACCTTGAGACCAAGTAGTTTAATGGGAGCACTTTGACCAGGTACTAAGCATTCAGGACCAGCTGCTTCCACTATAGCTCCATCACCCAAACCATTCCCTATAGGGTCTGGATGCTGGAAAAACCCAAAAAATTCAAACATAAAAAAGATGGTTTATGATTACGAAATGCAACAAAAAAGAAATAGAGTAGGAGAAAAAGAGAAACCCTCATGATGGAAATTGCATAATCGGAGAGAGGTGTGTGAGAAACGCGAAGAATAGGAGAGTGGTGAATTTTGGGTAATGGTTTCAGTGAAGATGATGAAACTCGCCATGGCACGTCGTCTTGAAAGGAAGTGTTCTTCGACATTATCTATTTTTCTACGCACTTCACAACTAACACATGTCATAGATGAAAGTAAGAGTGGCCGAAGATATCATCCAAGTTTTGGGTTTTTTTTTTTTTTTTGGATTTAGCCGACCAATTGAACCGATTTCGTGGTTTAAAACAACAATTTACTCGACAAGCTTTCTTATAAAGAGTATTATTACAGAAGAAGAATTAACAGAGGGGGGACTGAAGACAGAAAGGGGTCGATTACAATGAAGAAGAAAATCGAAAAAACGGACGAGAATACAGAGACAGAGGGAGAGAAAACAGAGAACTTGAAGAACGCGAAGAAGGAGATACCAGCGTTGTCGTTGAAGACGAAAAGAGAAAGAGCAATTAGGATTTAAACATCTAAAACCCTAATTGCTAATCACCGTAGCTTCGCCGCCGCTATTCCATTCGAACTCGCCAGAATTTACAAAGCAAGAGAGAAAGAAGATCAGAACAAATCGGACAGAAAGTCATAAAGCAATCGCGAAAGGGGTAAGATCTTTAGCTTTTTGTTTGTTTTTGGTGGTTGGGTTTTGATTGAGGGAGAACTGGGTTTGAAGGTTGGGGGTGAGAGGCTGCGCGGGAGAGAGATGAAGGGTTCACTGTAAAAATAAAATTGTAACAAGAATAATGAAATGAATAAGAGCTTTTTAAGAGTTTTTTAACTTTTTTACGGCGACGGGTGTTTTACCGTCGTGCCCATGAGAATTTTTAAAGGTTTTGGGTGCGACGGTTGTTTTACCGTCGTGAAATGAATTTTAGGACGGATAATTTTACCGTCGTGAAAGGTTTAAAGGTGCGACGGGTGCTTTACCGTCGTGATATGCCTTTTAGGACGGTTAATTTTACCGTCGTGACTAGTTGTTGGTGAAAAATCAATGTTAAAAGTGTTAAATGGGGGCCGACGGTTGTTTTACCGTCGTAATAATAATATTATGATGGTTAAATATACCGTCGCAAAATAAATATTAGGGACGGTTGGTGTCAACTGTCGTAAACACTGTCTCTATATGTCAATTACGACAGTTATCACATAACTGTCGCAATTTTTGTGTCGTTAAACACTAATTTTCTTGTAGTGAGTCAACTCAAATTTGACCAAGCATAACTTTCTCATAATTTATGATAAATGACCCATCCAAAGCTCATTTTTAAGAGGATGCAATGCTATAAAGTCCATCTTCAGCTCCCAAGTTCAAAATATGCACTCACAAGAAGTTATGAATTTGGACATTATAGGTCATTTTGAAAAGTCAACAAAAACACCTTTTTTGTCAAAGCTTCATACATGGACATGGAATACCAAATTGAGATGAGACTAAAAGGGTTGCTTAAAGGACATCTGAAGCGTTCTAAAAAGTACAATAACACCTTCAAAGAGTCAAAATTGAGGAAGTTATGCATTGGTGAAGTTGACCTTTTTTGCAAAATTGTCAAAAGTCAACTATGCCTCAAATTGCAATTTTTGCTAAATGGGCCCAATCTTTTGCACTTGTTTTGAGTTGGTAGCATGGTGTGATCGGTGGATCTGGAACTGACTGTTTAAAGTCGGTTCGCGAAATGTCGCGGAAGCAAGAGTCGCCACCGTCTTTTATTTTCTCCAACATGGACAGGACAAAAGCACAGAAAAATTCCTTATAGAGATTGCTCTCGGTTCGGGATGTAGATTATAGAAAGGGAAGGTGTTAGCACCCTTTCTATCCATGGTTATCCATGGGTTCTTAGATACTTGCTCATTTGTGTTTTCAAAAAGGTTTGTTTGCTTTTCAACTGTGGGTTTTAAAAAGTTTCTTTGAAAATTTCAGTTCGACTCTTGTATCGGTTCTCAAGAGTGTTTGAAAAATTGCTTTCGAAAGCTTTTTGAAAATGTGTTGGTGTGAAAAGTATTTTTGATTTGTTTTGTTTTGAATTAGAGCAAGTATCCACGAGTCGTCTACCTACCCTAAGGAATTCGTCTGTGTAGATGTCCTTTAAAGTAGTGCCATCCCACCATTGAGAGGTAGGTAGCACCACCGTTGGAGGTGTTCGGGTCAATTCGAGGTTCGGGACATGGTGATCACCAGAGCAATGGGAAGACACCTTAGAAGCTACCCTCATGCCAGGTTCCCGGATCATGAGGACTTACTAAGACATCCTCTACTCGACGATCACCTTTCGAAAGGCAAGGCAACAGTGAGGCGTACCCTAGGGGTGGTGTGTGATTTGTGTGTCAGATTCGTTTGCATTTATCTTGTTCATGTTATTGGTGATCTACGCTTGTTTTTATTTATTGTCATTCATTCTTGCATGCATTTATTTAATAGTTAAAAGTGCGAAGAAGATAAAAGTTCTAAAGCTATTACAAAAGGCGCGAGTCCATATCGCCAAAATTTCCAGGACCCGATTTGACAGAAAATAAAGAAATAATGAAAAGGAAAGTGCGAGAAAGTAATTTACAAGGCCTTGGGAGAGATACATAAATATTACACGAGAAAGAAATAAACACGCGAATTAAATAAGAATTAAAAGGAGGGCGTTGGACCCTTTTTGTAAAATTAACTTAAATGATGAAATTAATTAATTAAGAAAAGAAAAGAAATTGTTTTTGGTATTTTTTGGTATTTTTTGATTTTAATGAAAAAGAATTAATTAAAATAAAATGCTAACCCTAATTCTAGTTGTTTTTAATTTATTAAGAAAAGATTAAATTTTAACCTAATATTAACCCTAATTAATTTACATGCAATTTTAACTTATAAAAGTAAATAATATTAAATATTTAATTATTATGAAAGAAAAGAAAAAAAAGGATAAAAATTATTATAAACCCTAATTCTACCAATTTTAGGTTTTTATTAAAAAAATGTTAAGATTAAACCCTAAATTAAAACTAAGTGAATTAATGCAATTTATTTACAAAAAATACTAAAATAAAAATATTTATTATTTTTTATCTTTTCTGATTTTTTGGTGTTTTTTATATATTATGAAAATAATTGAATTAACAGAATTAATTAAAAAGAATAATAATTGAAAATAAAAAAAAGAATAAAAAGAAAAATATTGCAAACCTCAGGGGGGTGTTGTCCCCAGCTGTGAGGTAAATCTTTAGCAATTTAGGCCCACTGAGCTTCAGGCCTGGCTGACTTTTCCACTAGTGTACCCAAGCATTGACTCACGTGTACTATACTCTCCAAATCTGTGCCCTTGAATTGATGAAATTGAACGCGTGGACGGCTTGATGGAGGGATGTATGATGGTCCACAACGTTGAAACTGTATGTGGATATAGAATGAAAAACAATATGAAAGGGGGTGGGGACCTGGGGCTCGAACCCAGGTCCTAGAAGTCAACAAGATGCTTGCTTGCCACTGAGCCATGTTATGCGTTTTGTATATATGATAATTAACAAATAATATAAAATAAACAAGCGTTAGTGGGGCGCTTTTCGCGCGAAATTTGAACCAGCCAATCAACTGATGCCACAAGATCATCTTCCTCGTTGATTTATTTTTCCTGAAACATAAAAACAATTAGCAACGGTTTTCTAAACGTTCCCATAGGCACCTTTCTGCAAAATAACGAATAGCCCCTGGGGCCTCATAAATTAGGCGCGAGGCATCTAATCTTTTCGTCCAAGCATGCTGAACATGGTCATGGCACTGAGGTCCCCTAATTTTACTTTGACTGGGAAACCCCAATTCACAGTTCTGCAAACCCTAAAATACGACCATGGTAGATTCGCATAGAGGTGATAAAAACACAATTAAGCAATTGGGTTAGCTTCAGAATCTTATAATGAACACAAATCAAGCATCAAAAATTATGAAAAGTGTATGAATCGAGATGCAAGAGCATGAAATTTTTTCTGGACAGGGCATGTTCGTTTTACCAATTCTTGATGTTAGGATGAACGATTTTGATTGGAAATCCTTCCTTGAAGCTTCAAGAAGGTGATGGCACTAGTCTCTTTGCTTGAATCGTCCTCTAACCTTGTTTTCAGTTTTGAATTTTTCAACCAAAAACTCAAGTTTTGTGCTTGGTCTGTAGCGCAGCTTTTTGGTTAGGAGGCATTAGGTCTTGCTTCTGTATGTATAGGAGAGTAATTTAGGTCAAAAATCTGATCAAAAGAATCAAGGAATTGATTATGCAATATTTGATTTTCAAGCCATTATTTTGCAATGTTTTTCACATGCTTTTGCTACCAAATCATGACCAATTCAATTAATTCTTTCTAAATTTGGTTTGGCACGAAATCTTGAGCATATATCATGCATAAAAAGATTTAAAACCTAGGTTTAGTATTTTTCATGTATTTATTTTAATTTAAATGAATTATTAATAATAAAAATCCAAATAAATAAATAAAAATGAAGAAAAACTTCCCTTTAGGCCAAGTGGTCGTGCACATGACTTGGATGATGAATTGTGGAAGAAAAAGAGGCCCATTAGCAATTTTAGGTCATTTGAAGTAATGTTGACTTTTCAAAATATCCAAAAATTTCCCAACTTCCACAAGGCATAACTTGCTCAATTTTTAGAATTTTTTTTATTAATAACCAAGTATTAAAAAAATATTTCGCAAAAAACCGGGTTTCGGAAAAAATTACGCAAATAACCATGTTTGAGATGGCTCCATAAAGGAGGAGCCATCTCATTTGGCGCATCCTCCTATTTTTATAAGGGAGGCGCCATCTCATTTGGCGCCTAAGGGCAAATGGCAAGCCCTAAGCCAAATGAGATGGCGCCTATGAGGAAAATTAGGTCAAAAAAAAATTTTTTTTTCCTTTCCTGCGCGTTGCGTATTAGACAGAGATAACCAAAATTGATTTTTTATTTGAAAAAAAATAATTACATTCAACTGTTTTACATTTAAATAACAGTAAAAAAATAGATACAAAAAATACTGGAAAAAAAAAAGATACATCAATGATCCCCAGGAACCCGGTAATGACCCCCAGTTCCGCATCCCCGTCCTCGCCTTTCTCTTGCTGGGTGCCGTCTCGTTT